AGCAAGCTGAGATTCCACAGATTCTAGGGGTATCCTCACTGAGCGATCAAAACCCAGACAACCCACGACGTAGCTTGTAGCAAAAACGAAAAAATAATAAGTGTTTGAATTTTGACTTGAGCCGTCCCTTTATAGATACTGTCTTTTTACGTTAGTGAGCCGGATCATTTGGCTCGGCTCTCTTAAAGCGCCGGCTGTTTCGGCTCCCAAACGGCTCTTCATGTTACCACAGTTTACCACGGAGCCTCAGGGTGTTTCTCAATGTCGAGTAAAGCTGCTTCAGAGCCACTATTTTAAGCATACTACGTCATCGAGTGCCGCCGAAGTACTGTTCCAATCTCCAGTATACTTGGAAATCTACCGAGCCCGGCGTACTCCGTTTGGAGAAATATCGAGGCTGCACATGAGTAGACTCCGCGGTCTTAAAATCCCCACAATGCTTTGCGCACGGACCAATTTCCCCAAATCTGTGGCGGAAGATGTAAGGCGGGGCCTCTCATATGACGCACACTTGCTAGCGTGTTCCACACTTCGTTTTCCGAATGCCAGGAAGTATTCTTGACTCGCTTCTGAAGCAAGATGCTCGGCAGACATGTGCTACCAAGCAAGCGTACTCGCGATTGACAAACACCCTCAGTTTCGCCGCGGCGAGGCTCTGGTCCTCGCAGCTCACGCGTGTGCTCCACTAGCACCGCTCATCGCGTCCAAATCGCGCACGTTCCGTGTTGTCCTGTAGCAGGCACCGCCGATGTCGGGCAAACGATCTTCAATACTCCGAAAATAATCCCACCAGACTCCTCTGCCCCTCCAACAGAGGGATGTCCTTGTCCTTTTTCCTTTTCGTTATTTCAAGCGATAAAAATTCTCGATCTTCTCTCGAATTATTAATATTTTTGGACGCCCTCGAGCTGTATAAGGGCGTCAAATGACGGCAAGACGCCCCCTGGCGGAAACGCTGATTCCATCCCTCACATACTTATGTATATATAATAACTTGCTTTAATTTTGTTTTTGTTAATTTGTAAATTCAACATGTATATTTTCTACTTTCTTGTTTATTTCTAGTCTTTTCATTTTTATTGTACGATGCCATGTCTTTTTATGCTGCTGCAACACAAACATTTCCCAACTTGAGATCAATAAAGTATTCATTTTTAAAGTGGAGGGCTGTGCAGAAATGTGCAAAAAGCAGTCCGTTGAACATGGCTCACAGTATTAAGAAAGAAATGTGATGCATCATGTTTTTGGGGTGGATAAGAAGTCAGTGGGGGTCCCGGGCATTTTATTCTCTGTAAATACTGCATATTTTTCAATGTTATTATAGTGTTCTTAAAATAGTTCTCTGTGTTTTTAATTTGAGTTTGACTTGCATATGCACCGTGACATCAAGTCAAATTCCTCGTACGTGTCAACCTACGATTCTGATTGGGATTGTTGATGAGGCCGGTAGTAATAATAATAATAATAATAATAATAATAGCTTAGATTTATATAGCGCCTTTCATGGGACCCACGGTCGCTTTACAGAGAAAAACAGGAGTGCAAACAAACAGTCAGACAAAACAACAAATAAATGAGGGGCCGAAGGAAGCAGAGAGGAAGATTTCTATAACCTCTTCAAATGAACGTAGGAATAACCAGAGCAGAAGTTCTGATCCTCTGATCCCCTGACAGCTGTTCTGAGTTTGAGATTGCACTCATTGTAAGTGGCTTTGGATGTAATGTGATCTACGCCCTCATGACTCAGAGCTGCAGTGATGAGGATGATGAGGATGAGGAGATGTTTGGACTGAGGTGTGGTTCTCCCTGCAGACCGGAGGCATGTCCAGAAACACACCAGCAGTTCATTTATATTTTATATTTATTTGTTTATTTGGCAGGGACATTGCACATTAATTAACACTTAAAACATGAAATGGGCCAAGTGTAAATATACCTTTCCATCCGCAGTCCCTCATATAAAACATTAAAGGGCCCATGTCATGCTTTTCTGGTTATTACCCGTCCCCTTGTGTGTTATGAAGGTCTTTCTGCATGTAAACGGTCTGCCGAGTCACAAACCCTCAAAGTACACCCTGTAGCGAGTAAAACTCTAACACAGAAAAGACCTGTCTATGCTGCCCCAGAACGCCTCGTTGGACATTTCTCTTTTTCCATTTGTTTCTTCCGGGGCCTATTGACGTCACTAAGGCCAAATGGACCAATAGGCACACCCTCTGCCAGGGCGGACTTCCGAGCAGCTCAGGAGCCCGCCCCGCGAGGCTCCCGGAGCAGCTCAGGAGCCCGCCCCGCACAGTGTGAGGTGGATTTCCCGCTGTGTTTCCCTGGATGCTGGATATAGACCAAGTGCCGTGCCAGCGGACACCGCGGAGCTCAGGCTGAGTTTTGCGGTGTCTCGCAGACCCCACGCAGCAACCAGGAAACGACAGCAGTAATCCAGCTCACACTGTCCGCTCCTCGAGCCTCAAAGGGCGGAGCAGCGAGCCCCGCAACGTCCCGCCAACACGGCACCCAGACCCCACGCAGCATTCTCATCTGTTTGTCATTACTGGTGTCATTTTCTGGTTGCTAACAAACGCCATTGTAACACATAATCACTGATGTTCCGCTGTAACGGTGGTGGACTTATCAGAACAGAGTGGGCGAGCTGACCAAGAATTTCCCCCAAAAATTACTTCTCGATTTAGCAGTTGACCAAAGAGTAATTTGATTACAGATTAATTGTAATTTTTTTTAATTGAAAATGTTCAGCCTCTTAAATATGGAGGTGTCTTTTTTTTCTACCTTTTTAAAAAATATATAATTTAAGTACATTTTTAAAGAGTTGTTAAAGTTATCCAAGGCGTTTAAAGACTTCACCTTGCGCTCTAAGAAACTGGGACATTTTTAATTATTTCTTCACATCTCATACACCACAGTTTCACCAAGACCCTCCCAAATAAGTACTTTTTAAAATAAATAAATCTGTTTCTGGTCTGGTGTCAGACGGGTCGGGTCACGCCGACATTTATTTATCTGGTTTCACCTCAGCCGACCACTGAGCTGTTTATAACATCTGCTCTCACTGCGTTCACCGTGTGTGTGAAGAGCATTGTGACACTTGTGTGTGAAATACTCTCTCCACACACACACACACACACACACACAGTGAGACAGACACACACACACAGTGAGACAGACACACACACAGTGAGACAGACACACACAGTGAGACAGACATACAGATGAATATTCAGACACACACCTATTTCTGGCATGTGGTAAACAGTCAGAAACTCTTTTGACCATCTACACACACACACACACACCCACACACCCCCTCAGGGAATACGGCGGTGTTTTTTTTTCTGCTTTAAAGAAGGCGGCTGTTTGTTTTGCAGGAATTCAGCAGGTTAGCTCGGGTCAGAGCAGCAGGAAAATAAATCTGTAAAAACAAATGTGTGTCCAGAGTCCGTCCCACACTACAGAGGTGTGTGTGTGTGTGTGTGTGTGTGTGTGTGTGTGTGTGTGTGTGTGTGTGTGTGTGTGTGTGTGTGTGTGTGTGTGTGTGTGGTGTGTGTGTGTGTGTGTGTGTGTGTGTGTGTGTGTGTGTGTGTGTGTGTGTGTGTGTGTGTGTTGTGTGTGTGTGTGTGTGTGTGTGTGTGGTGTGTGTGTGTGTGTGTGTGTGTGTGTGTCGTGTGTGTGTGTGTGTGTGTGTGTGTGTGTGTGTGTGTGCTGTGTGTGTGTGTGTGTGTGTGTGTGTGTGTGTGTGTGTGTGTTGTGTGTGTGTTGTGTGTGTGTGTGTGTGTGTGTGTGGTGTGTGTGTGTGTGTGTGTGTGTGTGTGTGTGTGTGTGATTGTGGTGTGTGGTGTGTGTGTGTGTGTGTGTGTGTGTGTGTGTGTGTGTGTGTGTGTGTGTGTGTGTGTGTGTGTGTGGTGGGTGTGTGTGTGTGGTGTGTGTGTGTGTGTGTGTGTGTGTGTGTGTGTGTGTGTGTGTGTGTGTGTGAACGGCATTTATATCTTAAAGGGGACCTATCATGCACTTTTGTACGTCTTGTATACATGAATATGTGTCCCCGGTGTTCCAGGGAACTCACCAAGTGTCAGAAACACAACCCTCTCTATTTTCCTCCATACCCAAATCTCTAAAAAAGGGGCTGCAACGGATCTGATAAAAACTGATCCAGATTTGAACACTGTCCTGACGTCAGGACGGTGGCGCTACGGCTATTGGGCCAACTCCACCAATCAGGAGGAGACAGCCACGGCCATTGCCGTTCGAAAGCGCTGGAGACGCTGTAGTACATATGCCAGGCCTGTAGATGGTGCTGTTCTCACTGAATCTGCCCTTGCTAAAACAGAGCTAGAAAATGTCAAATTGAGCAAAATGAGGCATGGCTAAAATGCATGATCTGTTTGGTATTTTGAAAAAAAAAAAGTATAAATATGCCTTATATAGGTATGGTCCTACACTATATTATTCAAATATAGCATGATAGGTCCACTTTAAATATAACCTAATTTGGTCATATATGGACTTTGTTCTAAATACAAACTTGTTTTTTTAACATACAGAATACATAAGGAAAGATAAACAAACATGCCTTATCGTTGGCCTTAAATCCAAGAGCATTTTCTCACGTGAAAATGTTTAAATAAATGTCTGTTAAATAATTGTTTGGATTATTTAACTACTGCATTAACATTTAGAAAAATACATCCTATAAGGAGGGCTAATAATCAAACATTAAAACACTTGCATATTTGAAGTTAGATTAAAGCTAATTTCAATACAGAGACGACGACAAATGGAAAAGTAAACAATGAATAAATTGTGGTACGTTCCACCATGAGGTACTTTGTGCATATCACCTGCAAACAAATCAGGATATTTGACACTGATTGGCTGATTGATCGGTGCATCTTCAATACATGTTTTGAAATCTCGCATACCTACTAAATAAACCTCGTAAAATAATCTAAATACAAACTCTAATGTCTTCTTCTCCTCTTCTCTTTCAGGAAACTGAGATTGCAGCCGAATGCAACCATGTAAGTGTCTGCACCGCATAAAACTCCATCTCCCAGCATGCACCATGTTGTCCTATTACTCCATGTTAAGCACCAGAGACATGTAGTCATGAAAAAAACTAAAAATAAGCACAACATTTTGGGAACTGCAAAAGTATTTTCAGATCAATGGATTTAACAAAAACACTCTCAGGCTCACTTACTGGTTTTATATCAGTTCACTTTAAATCATTATCGTCTGTTTGTGTAGTCCATTTACTAGCTTCTCCTTAACTCTTAGGTGTCTCACATCAACAGGGAAGATGTTTAAGGTGTTGACGTTACATGCTAAATGCTAACAGCAAGTTAAACTACTAGCATACAGATCCATATACTTGCTTTTATCTTCAGACTGTGTATAAATATGTGTTATTCTGATGTTTCGTGTATTTGTGTTTACCTCCTCCAGCTGCTGTGGAACTACAAGCTGAATCTGACCACTGACCCAAAGTTTGAGTCTGTCGCTGTGGAGGTTTGCAAGACCACCATCACTGAGGTGAGACCCTAAAAACACAACATAGTTTAATAGGGATGGGAACCGAGCCCCGGTGTTAAAGGGGCCCCGGGGGCTGAATTATTAAAGACCGTGCTACCGTGAAGCTCTGACGTTATCGGTCTTTTTATCGGTACTGGAGACATTTAAAAAAGATATCTGTGTTATTGCTACACAAACATTATATTGCAGTTTCAGTTTCGCCAACTCCGTTTCTAATACGCAAAAAGACTGCAAAATGCGTCTATGATTATTTTCGATCTTTCCAATCCAGCCAAGAGATCTGTCTCCCCCGTCTGTGTGCGAGGGGGCGGGGCAGTTTACACACATGCAGCTGCTACACACACACACACACACACACACACACACACACACACACACGGTTAACTCTTTCTGACAGAATACCAGGGGTGGGAAGTAGTGGAGTACAAATACTTTGTTACTGTACTTAAGTTAGGGCTGTGCGATTATGGCAAAAATCATAATCACGATTATTTGGGTCAATAATTGATATCACGATTATTAAATACGATTATTCATTGACTTTGAAAACATCCATTTATTGAACTTTAAAACAAATACAAATAATAATTTGAACAGTATCTTTTTAACTGTTGATAACCCTGAACGTATAATTCTACTGAGAAACCAATACAAAAATAAATAAGGGGGCGGGGCAGTTTACACACACGCTCTGCTACATGCATGCCACACACACACACACACACACACACACACACACACACACACACACACACACACACACACACAGGCAGCTGCTACATGCAGCAACACACACACACACACGGAGGAGATGGCGGAGAGAACGCGCTCCGAGGTGTGGTTAAACTTTACCCGTCTCGATGTGGACAATGCTCGTTACCTAAAGTGCAATAAGAGTTTAGCATGTGAGGGCGGTAACACGAGCAATTTGTCTAAACATTTAGTAAAAGTGCACCACATTCAGACGGAGGAATGCACCGGGTTCAATTTGTTAAAATACTGTTGTTTCTTTTGATGTGAAATATTATGTATTTAATTTAAATAAAGACAAACTGCTCCTCGTAAGCCTGTTAGACAGTCACTTTTTTGGATTACTACGGCCGCAACAATGCTCTCTGTGCTCTTCCCTCAGATTAAGGAGTGTGCATCGGAGCAGCTGGGTAAAGGTTTCCTGGTTTCCTGTCTGGTGGATCACCGTGGCAACATCACCGACTACCAGTGCAACCAGTACATCACCAAGATGACCACCATCGTGTTCAGCGACTACCGGCTCATCTGCGGCTTCATGGACAAATGTCGAGAAGACATCAACACTCTTCACTGCGGAAGCATCAGCACCGGAGACAAGGTGAGAGGCTGGGAAGATACAAATATAACTGGGTCTAAAGTGGTGCTGAGATAACAGATTTATGTGTTGGACCCTGAAGGCAGCATCTCCCTGGTTCAATGGGATTTCTCCATGTGATTTTGGGTTGTGTAGGATATTCATCTCTGTGTCAAACAAACGTTTATGATACTTAAAGTTCAGCAGGATACTCTCCACATATCAACACCACTTTATTATTTCTGAAATAAAAAGCTAACGTTAGGCTATAAAGGAACTACAGCACGGTCACATGACTTCACGTCACCACCGCTAAGCTAAAGGCGGCTAATGTTGGGCTATAAAGGAACTACAGCACGGTCACATGACTTCACGTCACCACCGCTAAGCTAAAGGCGGCTAATGTTGGGCTATAAAGGAACTACAGCACGGTCACATGACTTCACGTTACCACCGCTAAGCTAAAGGTGGCTAATGTTGGGCTATAAAGGAACTAGAGCACGGTCACATGACTTCACGTCACCACCGCTAAGCTAAAGGAGGCTAATGTTGGCTTATAAAGGAACTACAGCACGGTCACATGACTTCACGTCACCACCGCTAAGCTAAAGGTGGCTAATGTTGGGCTATAAAGGAACTACAGCACGGTCACATGACTTCACGTCACCACCACTAAGCTAAAGGTGGCTAACGTTGGCTATAAAGGAACTACAGCACGGTCACATGACTTCACGTCACCACCGCTAAGCTAAAGGTGGCTAATGTTGGCTATAAAGGAACTACAGCACGGTCACATGACTTCACGTCACCACCGCTAAGCTAAAGGTGGCTAATGTTGGGCTATAAAGGAACTACAGCACGGTCACATGACTTCACGTCACCACCGCTAAGCTAAAGGTGGCTAATGTTGGGCTATAAAGGAACTACAGCGTGGTCACATGACTTCACGTCACCACCGCTAAGCTAAAGGTGGCTAATGTTGGCTATAAAGGAACTACAGCACGGTCACATGACTTCACGTCACCACCGCTAAGCTAAAGGTGGCTAATGTTGGGCTATAAAGGAACTACAGCACGGTCACATGACTTCACGTCACCACCGCTAAGCTAAAGGTGGCTAATGTTGGGCTATAAAGGAACTACAGCACGGTCACATGACTTCACGTCACCACCGCTAAGCTAAAGGTGGCTAATGTTGGCTATAAAGGAACTACAGCACGGTCACATGACTTCACGTCACCACCGCTAAGCTAAAGGTGGCTAATGTTGGCTATAAAGGAACTACAGCACGGTCACATGACTTCACGTCACCACCGCTAAGCTAAAGGTGGCTAATGTTGGGCTATAAAGGAACTACAGCACGGTCACATGACTTCACGTCACCACCGCTAAGCTAAAGGCGGCTAATGTTGGGCTATAAAGGAACTACAGCACGGTCACATGACTTCACGTCACCACCGCTAAGCTAAAGGCGGCTAATGTTGGGCTATAAAGGAACTACAGCACGGTCACATGACTTCACGTTACCACCGCTAAGCTAAAGGTGGCTAATGTTGGGCTATAAAGGAACTACAGCACGGTCACATGACTTCACGTCACCACCGCTAAGCTAAAGGAGGCTAATGTTGGCTTATAAAGGAACTACAGCACGGTCACATGACTTCACGTCACCACCGCTAAGCTAAAGGTGGCTAATGTTGGGCTATAAAGGAACTACAGCACGGTCACATGACTTCACGTCACCACCACTACGCTAAAGGTGGCTAACGTTGGCTATAAAGGAACTACAGCACGGTCACATGACTTCACGTCACCACCGCTAAGCTAAAGGTGGCTAATGTTGGCTATAAAGGAACTACAGCACGGTCACATGACTTCACGTCACCACCGCTAAGCTAAAGGTGGCTAATGTTGGGCTATAAAGGAACTACAGCACGGTCACATGACTTCACGTCACCACCGCTAAGCTAAAGGTGGCTAATGTTGGGCTATAAAGGAACTACAGCGTGGTCACATGACTTCACGTCACCACCGCTAAGCTAAAGGTGGCTAATGTTGGCTATAAAGGAACTACAGCACGGTCACATGACTTCACGTCACCACCGCTAAGCTAAAGGTGGCTAATGTTGGGCTATAAAGGAACTACAGCACGGTCACATGACTTCACGTCACCACCGCTAAGCTAAAGGCGGCTAATGTTGGCTTATAAAGGCACTACAGCACGGTCACATGACTTCACGTCACCACCCACCGCTAAGCTACAGTCATATGACTTCATGTAAAGTAAATGTTGGTTATCTTAAATGAGTGTCTTCTGGTTCTCTAGAGAAATGTTGTGAGATGTGCTTCATCATGCGGTTAATATGTGTTGAAACATGTTGGCGAAACAAGTCGGAGAAGAAGAAGCTGAGTCATCTGACACATCACTGATATTCTGCAGAGCACTGGGGCTAAAGAAGCAATACTTTAACAAACGGTTAAATATTTAACCTATCATGCAAAATGCACTTTTGTACGTCTTTTCTACATGAATATGTGTCCCCGGTGTTCCAGGGAACTCACCAAGTGTCAGAAAACACAACCCTCTCTATTTTCCTCCATACCCAAATCTCTAAAAAAGGGGCTGCAACGGATCTGATCAAAACCGATCCAGATTTGAACACTGTCCTGACGTCAGGACGGTGGCGCTACGGCTATTGGGCCAACTCCACCAATCAGGAGGAGACAGCCACGGCCATTGCCGTTCGAAAGTGCTGGAGACGCTGTAGTACATATGCCAGGCCTGTAGGTGGTGCTGTTCTCACAGAATCAGCCCTTGCTAAAACAGAGCTAGAAAATGTCAAATTGAGCAAAATGAGGCATGGCTAAAATGCATGATCTGTTTGGTATTTTGAAAAAAAAAAAGTATATATATGGTCCTACACTATATTATTCAAATATAGCATGATAGGTCCACTTTAAGTATCAATCCATACTGAAAAACCCCAAAATAAAATACAAATAAAATCCGGAGAAAGTGTCTTTTCTGTTAGCGTGTGAGTCCATTTCCTCCTCCTCCTGCTGCTGAGACAAACTGCTCCTCGTAAGCCTGTTAGACATGCGCTTATTATGGGATATCACAATTAAAACTGGGAGCAAATGATTAATTTGTCAGCGACTTCATTATCAGGGATTTGTCACAGAGGCTAATTTCAGCGGAGATTACACTGACCACGTTTACTCAGACTGAGCTCATCTCTGACCACATCGAGAAATATATACAAATCATACTCTGAAGCGAAAGGAGACATCGCTCTAATGTCGGATAAGTGTCGAAATAAACTATCATTCTGCAAACTGGGAACGTTTCGGAAGTAGTTTTAGTCGATGTTGACAATTTAATCTTTTTTTACATGGTTCCCAGAGATTCTTGACCTATATTTTAGAGTTTGTAATAAGGGGTAAGACATGAATACGCATTAGTATCGGATAGCACAATTTAAAAACTGGGAGCAAATGATCAATTTGTCAATATATATAAAACATCGCTCTAATGTCGGATAAGTGTCCATTCTGCAAACTGGGAACATTTCGGCGAACGATTCAAGTAGTTTTAGTCGGTGTTGATGATTGAGTCTTCTCTACATGTTTCCCACTGATTCTTGAGCTATATTTAAAGACATAAATAGGCATGTGTGTCTGTAAAGCCTGCTAAAAGTCATAATAAACATTCCCAGTGTTGCTACAGTAAATCAACTTGATCCTTGTTTCAAACTGTGCCGCGCTGGGTCCTTGAATCTGATGTTTAGTGTGAAATAAGTCCAAATCCAAAATGCTGAAAATGCAGGCGTTGGCAACACTTTCTTTACATTTAAGATAAAATATGTTAATGCTTAACTATTCTCCTCTCACTATCAAGGCCTAACCTTCCCTAAGCCATAAAAACAACATGAGGAAGCTCTTCTCAGGTTCAACAGTAGTGCAGATACAGGTGGTTGCTCCTGTTATGGAGGTGATATTAAACCATAAAAAGAGATTAAATTCCCATGAGCATAACTGTCCTCGTTAACCATTCACCACTTCATCTCGACAATAACGTACAGGCGGAAAAAAACACATCAGAAAATCTGATATCAACGTGTTTTCAGTTGTTTAAAGAGGCCTTATTCTGCTTGATGTGGTGTTCCCTCTCCTGTAGTGTGTTCTATAGGTTTTAATGTAAATGGTCTGCAAAGGCTAAAATCCCCGCGTTCCCTCTCCCAAAGGCCTCCATTGTTTACTTCCGTTAATAGTGACATCACTATGGAACACTCGCTCCTATTGGCTAGCGCTCTTTACACATTGGCCGCTTTCACACCAAGTACTTAGCCGGTACTTGTCCCCGGTACTTAGTCCCCCCGAACTCTTTAGTCCCTCGAACTGTCCTAGTAAATCGCATTCTCACCGGAATGAGTCCCCTGAGGGAGGGTTACGCAAATGAAGCCGCTGACGTCACTTCTTCTGCTTTGGGTTTACTGGCAGGCCACAAACAACTTCACGGCGTATACTGCCACCCGAAGTCCCCGTCCGGAAGTCCCAGGAGTTGGGGCCTGTCTTCAGTAGAAGCTGCTGGGAGTCCCAGCAGCTTCTACTGAAGCCTTCAGAGTAAATCGCCAGAAACGCCGACACCTCCTCGTCACTCCACCGCTCCCATGTTTTCTTTTGTGGTGCCATAAGTTAGTCTCTCTCCATTGGTGCGCTGGGCTAATGCTAATAATGCTAATGCGAGCAAATCAAATGGCAGCTTCACAAAACTTTTCAGAGTTTTACGGGGCGTGGTTTGCAATTCGCCCAGCCAATCAGAAATTGTGAGCGTGGCCGACACACCCACGAACCATTTCCTCCTCAGGAAAGTACTACCTCTCTAGCAGGGACTATCTGGGGGTGAAGAGGTTTGCGCGAACTAGGGACTAGTTCCAGATCCTTTTTGGTGTGAAACCAAATCTCACCCCCCTATCGGCCTAGTTCGGGGGGAAAAGTACTCCGGTGTGAAAGCGCCTATTGTACGTGATAGGCTAAGGGGCGGGACATCTGTAAGCGGTGGAAACATTTGCTGTACATCTAAAAAAAAAAAAAAAAACAGACAAAGTGTGCAACCAGGAGCTGATAACCTTGATAAAGACATGTATCACTCATGAAGGCTGCCTCTCTCCTGTTTCAGTTGGAAATAACTTGATTTAAAACAAGTGATTGATTTGAAGCTACACACAGTTAAAACTAAAGAATCGTGTTTAACCCTCTGGAGTCGACGCTGGCGCCATAAAAAGTTTTCCGCACTCTCGCGGGAATATCTCCCCAACGGAGCGAGCTTAACTTTCACTTTCGATTGCACGATAAAGCCCAGTGCCTCACCTTCGTCACAGGTGTTGCCGCTTGTTTGTACCATTTTCAGGCGATTTGTAGTCTGTTCTAGAAAAACGATTCACAGGGTTCATGTTTTAATAGCATTTTTACAAAAAAAAAGCCCAGGCGAGCCTAGCATGTGAAAAAAGGGATTAGACTTCAGAGAGCAAATAAAGCAAAGATGTATCACATTACCTGACGCCTCATTTTAACACTGTGACCTTTGACCCTCCCTCAGGACGTCCACTCTCAGGGCGAGGTGATCGCCTGTCTGGAGAAAGGTTTGGTCCGGGAGGCGGAGGAGCAGCCGGGGGCTCATCCAATCAAAGAGGAGTGCAAGAAGTCCATCATGAGGGTCGCAGAACTCAGCTCCGACGACTTCCACCTCGACAGATACCTGTACTTCTCCTGCCGAGAGGACCGCGAGCGCTTCTGTGAAAACGTGAGGACGCAGGACACGTCTTTTATAGAGTAACGGATGATTTTAAATGCATCCAGATGTATTACTTTAAAATAATAGCTGATCATGTATGCAAGAAAGTGCTTTTTGAGTCCTCTTGCTTTCCTTAACACTAATATGTCATTTATTTTCAGACCGTTTTAGATAGCAACCTTTTGGGGTTTTAAAAATGTATTTGTCATTTTTTAAATCCTGCAGAAACCCTTAAAATGTGAAGTTATAAGTCATCCTTTTTAGAGTTATCTAGAGTTATAGCTTTTGGTTTTCTTTCTTAAGGCAATGGTTAATTTATATTTATCTCTCTTTTCAGACGCTGGCCGGAGAGGGACGGGTTTATAAATGTCTCTTTAATCACAAGTTTGAGGAGGCGATGTCTGAGAAGGTGAGTGCTGGAGATTGATTCACAAATACTTCAGTTTTAAGAAGCTGTGTTGCTTAAATAGTGATTAATGATTTTTTAATTACTAGCTTTCGTCCATGTATAACCTTATGTGTAATTTCCCTTTCATACATTCACTTTTAGAAGGGGCAATTATATATTAAAAGAAATTAATTTCAACGTTAAATTTCAATATTTCAAGTTTTCCTGGAGATTTCTAAGTTGAATTATAAAAATGTACCTGAAATTGACCGACCCTGAAACCATTAAAATGCGTCCCACTTGGAGTATAAATATAAAAAGACTCCCCCACCCTGTATTTGACCCTCTGTGTGTCCTCAGTGCCGCGAGGCCCTCACCACCCGGCAGAAACTCATCGCTCAGGACTACAAGGTGAGCTACTCGCTGGCCAAAGCCTGCAAATCAGACCTGAGGAAATACCGCTGCAGCGCCGACAGCAACGTGCCGAGAGCCAGAGAGGCGAGGCTGAGCTACCTGCTGCTCTGCCTGGAGTCCGCCGTGCACAGAGGTACCAAACACCTGCGTTTACTTCCATTAACCTCAGATTTTAAGCTTTTTTTAAGAGTACGTTTACTTTTATATATTTATTAAATAAATTAGGTCAAAAAATATATCTATTTTACTACTGTTACTACTACTGTTACTACTACTGTTACTACTACTGTTACTACTACTACTGTTACTACTGATACTACTGTTACTACTGTTACTACTACTACTACTGATACTACTGTTACTACTACTACTGTTACTACTGTTACTACTGATACTACTGTTACTACTACTACTACTGATACTACTACTGATACTACTGTTACTACTGATACTACTGTTACTACTACTACTGATACTACTGTTACTACTACTACTACTGATACTACTACTGATACTACTGTTACTACTGATACTACTGTTACTACTACTACTACTACTGATACTACTACTGATACTACTGTTACTACTGATACTACTGTTACTACTACTACTGATACTACTGTTACTACTACTACTACTGATACTACTACTGATACTACTGTTACTACTGATACTACTGTTACTACTACTACTACTACTGATACTACTACTGTTACTACTACTACTGATACTACTGTTACTACTGATACTACTACTGTTACTACTGATACTACTACTACTACTGTTACTACTACTGTTACTACTACTACTGATACTACTGTTACTACTGATACTACTGTTACTACTACTACTACTACTGATACTACTACTGTTACTACTACTACTGATACTACTGTTACTACTACTACTGATACTACTGTTACTACTGATACTACTGATACTACTGTTACTACTACTACTACTACTGATACTACTACTGTTACTACTACTGTTAGTACTGATACTACTACTACTGTTACTACTGATACTACTGCTACTACTGTTACTACTACTACTACTACTGATACTACTACTGTTACTACTACTGTTAGTACTGATACTACTACTACTGTTACTACTACAACTGATACTACTGTTACTACTACTACTACTACTGATACTACTACTACTGTTACTACTGATACTACTGCTACTACTACTGTTACTACTGATACTACTGATACTACTGTTACTACTACTACTGATACTACTACTGTTACTACTGATACTACTACTACTACTGTTACTACTACTACTGATACTACTACTGTTACTACTACTACTACTACTGATACTACTACTGTTACTACTACTACTGATACTACTGTTACTACTGATACTACTACTGTTACTACTGTTACTACTGATACTACTGCTACTACTACTGTTACTACTACTAATACTACTACTGTTACTACTGATACTACTGCTACTACTACTGTTACTACTACTACTGATACTACTGTTACTACTACTACTGTTACTACTACTACTGTTACTACTACTACTGATACTACTGATACTACTACTGCTACTACTACTGTTACTACTACTACTACTACTACTACTGATACTACTGTTACTACTACTACTGTTACTACTACTACTACTACTGATACTACTACTGATACTACTACTGTTACTACTGATACTACTACTACTGTTACTACTGATACTACTGCTACTACTACTGTTACTACTGATACTACTGATACTACTGTTACTACTACTACTGATACTACTACTGTTACTACTGATACTACTACTACTACTGTTACTACTACTACTGATACTACTACTGTTACTACTACTACTACTACTGATACTACTACTGTTACTACTACTACTGATACTACTGTTACTACTGATACTACTACTGTTACTACTGATACTACTACTACTACTGTTACTACTACTGTTACTACTACTACTGATACTACTGTTACTACTGATACTACTGTTACTACTACTACTGATACTACTGTTACTACTGATACTACTGATACTACTGTTACTACTACTACTACTGATACTACTACTGTTACTACTACTGTTAGTACTGATACTACTACTACTGTTACTACTGATACTACTGCTACTACTGTTACTACTACTACTACTACTGATACTACTACTGTTACTACTACTGTTAGTACTGATACTACTACTACTGTTACTACTACAACTGATACTACTGTTACTACTACTACTACTACTGATACTACTACTGATACTACTACTGTTACTACTGATACTACTACTACTACTGTTACTACTGATACTACTGCTACTACTGTTACTACTGATACTACTGCTACTACTACTGTTACTACTACTAATACTACTACTGTTACTACTGATACTACTGCTACTACTACTGTTACTACTACTACTGATACTACTGTTACTACTACTACTGTTACTACTACTACTACTACTGATACTACTACTGATACTACTACTGTTACTACTGATACTACTACTACTGTTACTACTGATACTACTGCTACTACTACTGTTACTACTGATACTACTGATACTACTGTTACTACTACTACTGATACTACTCAGAGTTCCCGTTAGCCGGTAATTACCGGACAATGACCGGTAAAATATGCTGAAGTCCGGCAAATCTAAATCTCTCCGGTCAAAATGTCCGGTCAAAATAATTTTCCCTTAGCGCAATACCGCATCAGTTGCGCCACTTATGTGACAGACAAGAATAGTATGTGACAGACAAAAGAGTATGTGACAGACAAAAATTGTCAATTCTAATGTCTAACACTTAATGTGGAGAAAGAGATGTCCTGTATGGGTTGATTGTGCGTTGATCTGTTGGTAATGCCTCGGGGTTCCGGTGGGCATGTAAACAAATTAGTGATGTGTCGGTCGCGAACGAGCCGATTCTTTTGAACGGCTCTTTGGTACGAACGAGGGGAACCGAGTCCTACTTGGTGAGAGCCGTTCTTGTTATCGTTCAATCGTTGGTCCGCACGGTCCGCACTCACTGCCTGCCAAAATCCACTCGCCTTTTAAAAAGCTTGATTTTGTTCCCCAAACGTATTCTGTGAAGATCCGCCACTACTCTGATTGGTAGGTTTCAGCACGAGGAGTGAGATGGGGTGGGTCTTAACGGAATACGCGCGAGAGAGAAGTCATAACAAGTGGTACAGGACAGGTAGACGACGTGTTTTTCGGATGGAAAATGAGCCAAACGCGAAAACGCAGCAGCATTTGGATGCACTTCAACCAAAACCCAGGCAGTGATAAAGCGCACCATTTGTAAAGGCAAAATATCCTTTAAAGCAGGGTCAACAAATAATCTCCATCGCCACTTAAAAACACAGTATCTAATATTAAGAGTTGCATGAATTTCATTCAAGGCAAGGCAACTTTATTTACTTAACACATACAGAGGGTAAATTCAAAGTACATTCACTGACATGAATGACATGGATATGGCGCCACCTTGTGTCATGTTTACAATGCCGATTATTGACATTAGGTCTGGCAATCATTATCCTGGTGATTATTTTGCAGATAAACCTAGTAACCTTAAAAAAACGGCTCTTTTGAACGGCTCTTTTGAACGGCTCTTTGAAAGGAACGGAGCCATAAGATCCGGCTCCCTTCAAAGAGCCATAATTCCCATCACTAAAACAAATGCATAATGCTGCGCTATACTTTGTGGCCTCATCCGGTTGCATAGCGACGCTTATTGTTTAGGTGTCTTTTAACAAGCAGGTAGTCATATCATTAGCTAGAACTAGCTAGATCTGATCGATATGGACATAAATGCGAGTAAAGTCTAATCTGACAGGAGAGAGAGATCGGCTGCTGCTGACGAGTCGACACGCAGCTCTGCATGATCCCCTGCAGCGGCGAGCAGAGCAAAACACACACTTCAGGTTAGAATATCACACGTAGCTATTTTAATTACCTCTCAAACTACCTAAACTAGTTATAGATATGTTTAGTTTTACTGTCGGGTCACTCATTACTGGATCCGCGAGCTGCATGATACTGACGGGCTGTCAGGAGAAGGAGAGAGCGCTCCGTTTATTATTCCCGCGTTTTTGTAAATTACTGTACACTTTTGAATAATGTAGTTAATCTACTATAATTAGTTTGTTTAATGTCGAATCATATCAATTTGTTTTAAAGCTCAATAAATAACAAAGAAGACCTTTAACCGGCACTTATCTAATTTTGTCCGGAAGATTTCAACTTTAACGGACATGTTGACCGGCAAAAAAATATTCTAACGGGAACTCTGATACTACTACTGTTACTACTGATACTACTACTACTACTGTTACTACTACTACTGATACTACTACTGTTACTACTACTACTACTGTTACTACTACTGTTACTGATACTACTGTTACTACTACTGCTACTACTACTGTTACTACTACTACTGTTACTACTACTACTGTTACTACTACTCATACGTATACTACTACTACTATGAGAGTTTTCAGTCTGTGGCTCTAAGTGTGGTTCTATCTCTAATTTAATATATTTATTGATGCACAGCACTTTTGGTCAACTCGGTTGTTTTTAAACGTGCTACAGAAATATAGTTGGATGGATATCTTCTAAAATACTACGGGTTGAGTGTTTTCTTACAGCCTTTCTTCCTGTGTGTGTGTTGCAGGCCGTGTGGTCAGCGGAGAGTGTCAGGGTGAGATGATGGATTACCGGCGGATGCTGATGGAGGATTTCTCTCTGAGTCCTGAGATCGTGCTGCACTGCCGCAGTGAGATCGAGGGCCACTGCTCCGGCCTGCACCGTAAGGGCCGGACGCTGCACTGCCTGATGAGGGTCGGGCGGGGGGACATGGGGGCCATCGACCCCAACTGCCAACGGGCGGTGAGTCAGCATTTATATTCACGATATATGGAGAAAAAAACCTGGCTTAATTATGTCACTGTTGGTGTTTCTCTGAAGGATTTAGTCGCTGTTGTACCATGCAAACGATTAGTGTCTTGCAGCAGGCGGTGAGTCGGCATTTACAGTAACGAAGTATTTGTACTCCACTACTTCCCACCTCTGTCTATACGTGGAAAAAAAACCCAGGCTTAATTATGTCACTGGTGTTTTTATAAAGGGTATCCTCTCTGTGGTACCACCCAAGGTTGTTCATCTTAGAGCGGTAAGACTTTAAATGCATCAAAAGGAAATGCTTTGTCATGTTATATTACATTTAGCTGATGCCTTCTTCCAATGTGACTTACAGTAAGTGCATCAACCCTGAAGGAACAAACTCAAAGTTTATAATATAAGTCTATTAGTGTATAAGCCCAACCTGATTGAAGTGCTACTGCATGAGCCTCACTGAAAGCCAAACATGTCTAAATGCTACGTACAGAAGAGAGAGAGAGATATATTTGCCGTAGAAATTGGTGAGTTTTCAGTCTGTGACGGCGGGTGTTACTCAGCATTTTATCATTGTGGTGAAGAGATTACATTTTGCTGAATCACTTCTGTTTTATTTAAGCTGAGACCAGTTCTACAAGTTGAGTAACTTTAATAAAAAAGGCTTTCAGAAATCATTTTTCGTAAAGAATTCTCAGTTTAGAGTCAGCTCTTGATCCCATCCTTACATTTTTTTGTCATTTTTAAAATGACTTAAAGTCTGGGTATTTGAGTCCTATCTAAGTCAAAGAAAATATAATTTTTTTATAAATTATTCAATGACGTTTGAGACTATTTTTATGGTTTCAACCGTCTTTGAAACTCTTGGAAATGTGTGAAATTAGATCAGAGAAATTAAAGTTATTATTTAAAGCCTGCTTATTCACTTATTTTGTTGTCTTTGTTAACTCTAACTCAATAAGGCACATGTTTACGTCTCATCGGCCCGTGTTTAAAAGGAAAAGTTGCTTTGACCCACTTATTAAGTCACTTAAACCGTGCGTCACAAAGACCAGCACCTACCAGAGTTGTATTGTTTTGTTGTTGTTTTCTATATTCATGTTGTTGTTGTTGTTGTCCCTCCTCAGCTCCAGACTCTGATCCAGGAGGCTGACCCCGGATCAGACTACCGGATCGACCGAGCTCTGAACGAGGCGTGCGAGTCGGTCATCCAGACGGCCTGCAAACACATCCGCAGCGGAGACCCCATGTGAGAGAGGAGAAACACTACGACTGCTACTGCTACTAATACTACTACTGCTACTAATACTGTTACTGCTACTACTGCTACTGCTAATACTGCTACTAATACTACTAATACTACTAATACTGCTACTAATACTGCTATTACTACTAATACTGCTATTACTGCTAATACTGCTACTAATACTGCTACTGCTACTAATACTAATACTACTGTTACTGCTAATACTGCTACTAATACTATTACTGTTACTGCTAATACTGCTACTGCTAATACTGCTACTAATACTGCTATTACTAATACTACTGTTACTACTAATACTACTACTAATACTGCTACTATTACTGCTATTACTACTAATACTGTTACTGCTAATACTGCTACTAATACTAATACTACTGTTACTACTAATACTGCTACTAATACTGCTATTACTAATACTACTGTTACTACTAATACTGCTACTAATACTGCTATTACTACTAATACTGTTACTGCTAATACTGCTACTGCTACTAATGCTGCTACTAATACTGCTGTTACTGCTAATACTACTGTTACTGCTACTAATACTGCTGTTACTACTAATACTGCTACTAATACTGCTGCTACTAATACTAATGTTACTGCTAATACTGCTACTAATACTGCTACTGCTAATACTGCTACTGCTACTAATACTACTGTTACTGCTAATACTGCTACTAATACTGCTGCTACTAATACTAATGTTACTGCTAATACTGCTACTGCTAATACTGCTACTGCTACTAATACTACTGCTACTGCTAATACTACTGCTACTACTACTGCTACTGCTAATACTACTGCTAATACTACTGTTACTGCTAATACTGCTACTGCTAATACTGCTACTGCTACTAATACTACTGTTACTGCTAATACTGCTACTAATACTGCTACTAATACTGCTACTGTTACTAATACTACTGTTACTGCTAATACTACTGTTACTGCTACTAATACTGCTGTTACTACTAATACTGCTACTAATACTGCTGCTACTAATACTAATGTTACTGCTAATACTGCTACTAATACTGCTACTGCTAATACTGCTACTGCTACTAATACTACTGTTACTGCTAATACTGCTACTAATACTGCTGCTACTAATACTAATGTTACTGCTAATACTGCTACTAATACTGCTACTGCTAATACTGCTACTAATACTGCCATTAATACTGCTAACTGGAAGTTGTAATGCAGGAGTCGTCACAATAGTTTAAATGTGTGTATTTGTGGTGCAGGATCCTGTCATGTCTGATGGAGCATCTGTACACGGAGAAGATGGTGGAGGACTGTGAGCACCGCCTGCTGGAGCTGCAGTACTTCATCGCAAGAGACTGGAAGTAAGTCCTCCTCCTCCCCCCCTTTCTTCATCACAGGATAAAAACAACTGCTTTTATGACTAATACTTAAAGGTCCCCTATTATACTGTTTTTCATCAATATATCACAGGTCTCAGATATATACAGAACCTGTCTCTGATTGGCTGAAACACCAAACAGATCATTGCAGCATCCCATAATCCCCTCTGTTTTAGCCTGTTTCCAAAGTGCTGATTCTCTGTCTGTTACTTTAGATGAAAATAAGGAGCCCCTCCCCACGCCCCTCTGAGAGAGATTTGGTTAATATGTTTTGTCGTTATGACATCATAAAGTGGCCAAAATCTGATCAGCATGGATCAGGACAAAAAGAGAGAGAATCTTTGTTCCTGAAACTTTCAGAGTCTCTTTCCACAGAGGGGACACATGTTGATGAAGAAGAGACATGAAGAAGAGGGGACACATGTTGATGTAGAAGAGACATGAAGAAGAGGGGACACATGTTGATGTAGAAGAGACATGAAGAAGAGGGGACACATGTTGATGTAGAAGAGACATGAAGAAGAGGGGACACATGTTGATGTAGAAGAGACATGAAGAAGAGGGGACACATGTTGATGTAGAAGAGACATGAAGAAGAGGGGACACATGTTGATGAAGAGGGGACACATGTTGATGTAGAAGAGACATGAAGAAGAGGGGACACATGTTGATGAAGAAGAGACATGAAGAAGAGGGGACACATGTTGATGTAGAAGAGACATGAAGAAGAGGGGACACATGTTGATGTAGAAGAGACATGAAGAAGAGGGGACACATGTTGATGTAGAAAGAGACATGAAGAAGAGGGGACACACTGTTGATGTAGAAGAGACATGAAGAAGAGGGGACACATGTTGATGTAGAAGAGACATGAAGAAGAGGGGACACATGTTGATGTAGAAGAGACCATGAAGAAGAGGGGACACATGCTGATGTAGAAGAGGACAATGAAGAAGAGGGGGACACATGTTGATGTAGAAGAGACATGAAGAAGAGGGGACACATGTTGATTGTAGAAGAGACATGAAGAAGAGGGGACACACGTTGATGTAGAAGAGGACATGGAAGAAGAGGGGACACACGTTGATGTAGAAGAGACATGAAGAAGAGGGGACACACGTGATGTAGAAGAGACATGAAGAAGAGGGACACACGTTGATGTAGAAGAGACCATGAAGAAGAGGGGACACACGTTGATGTAGAAGAGACATGAAGAAGAGGGGACACACGTTGATGTAGAAGAGACATGAAGAAGAGGGGACACACGTTGATGTAGAAGAGACATGAAGAAGAGGGGACACACGTTGATGTAGAAGAGACATGAAGAAGAGGGGACACACGTTGATGTCGAAGAGACATGAAGAAGAGGGGACACACGTTGATGTCGAAGAGACATGAAGAAGAGGGGACACACGTTGATGTAGAAGAGACATGAAGAAGAGGGGACACACGTTGATGTAGAAGAGACATGAAGAAGAGGGGACACGTGTTGATGTAGAAGAGACATGAAGAAGAGGGGACACGTGTTGATGTAGAAGAGACATGAAGAAGAGGGGACACGTGTTGATGTAGAAGAGACATGAAGAAGAGGGGACACACGTTGATGTAGAAGAGACATGAAGAAGAGGGGACACACGTTGATGTAGAAGAGACATGAAGAAGAGGGGACACATGTTGATGTAGAAGAGACATGAAGAAGAGGGGACACATGTTGATGTAGAAGAGACATGAAGAAGTGGATTTTGCATAATAGGTGACCTTTAATATTGCTCCCAGGTTGGACCCCATCCTGTACAGGAAGTGTCAGGGCGACGCCGCCAGGCTCTGTCACACTCACGGCTGGAACGAGACGAGCGAGATGATGCCGCCCGGCGCCATCTTCTCCTGCCTCTACCGACACGCATACCGATCCGTGGACCAGGGCCGCCGGGTGAGTTCATCATAATAATACATTTTATTCATAAAGGCGCCTTTCAAGGCTCTCAAGGTCGCCGTACAAGGTACACAAAACACAATGTTAGAAAAATATCACTCGTCACCGATACATGTATTTGTGATCCTCTCCAGAATGGAAGTAGTCATCACATACAGAGCATCAACTAGTTCCTGAACAGTGTCCTTCACATGCTGATATACAAGAGAGGGAGTTACACAGTCACAAGATGGAGGAATACCGGTTCTTGTTATCATACATCCAGTCATCTACAAAATTCTGACTTTTTTCTCAAAATCCTGACCTTTTTCCTCAAAATTATGAATTTTTCTCAAAATCTCAAAAATTATGACTTTTTCCTCAAAATCTCAAAATAATGACTTTTTCCTCAAAATCATGACTTTTTCTCAAAATCTATAAATCATGACTTTTTCTCAAAATCTCCAAATTATGACTTTTTCTCCAAATTATGACTTTTTCTCCAAATTATGATTTTTTTCTCAAATTATGACTTTTTCTAAATACTTACAAATGTTAATAATCACTGGTCACCGGCTTGAGCTTCAATCTCAGGATCCATGTATCTCTGATCCTCTCCAGAATGGAAGTAGTCATCACATACAGAGCATCAACTAGTTCCTGAACAGTGTCCTTCACATGCTGATATCCAAGAGAGGGAGTTACACAGTCACAAGATGGAGGAATATAAAGCAGTATTCAATGTTTGCAATGCAATTTTCAAAATGTATTATTGGTTCAGAAGATGTCGAGCACCACAAACTAAAGGCTGATCCCGTCCATCACGCTGGATTTGTGGCCAAAGTCTTAGCAGCAGAAATCATGAAGTAAATATATCGAGGGACTTTTCTGAACTTCCTCACTAACCGGAGAATATTCTCCTAGCTCGTCAGTGGGAAGTCTGAAGCAGGAAAGAGAGGTTTTACTGTGAGTACGTCCAACACTACAGATGATGATGATGGTGATGATGATGATGATGATGGTGGTGATAAATCAAATGAAATCACAGGGAACTGGACGCTTCTGTCCTGATGTCTGTAATTGTTGTGTAATCTCGGTGCATGTGGGAGTAAAAGTGCTGCTGAACTGTGATGTGATAATCAATGGATACACGGATTAATCAACTGGATTAAATTAAGTTTCTGATTAAATGAAATAATTTGCTTAAAGTGATCCTCCACTCAGATAGATGGTTTCATTAAAGAAAATAGTATTTTAATTCTTTAGAAACTTCTTAAAAGCAGCAACATCTTTGATCTGTAGTCCATATTTTGTTCAGTTACATCCAATCATACATATCGTGTCTCAAATAAAGTTAGGAGCTTCTGTGTTAAGACACCAGCTTTTAAAACAAGGACATTTAAAGGTGGGGTAGGTAATTCACTTCAGAAACACTTGTTATATTCCATGGAATGCTCTTAACATCCCGATAGCAATGAATACATTAAAAAATATCATCAGTGGAAGCCGTAATACTGTAAAAAGCACGACCAATCATCTGAGCCGGCCCGGCTAAAATAACTGGATGGCCTACCTGCCTGTCAGCCTTCCATCTGTGCACAAACTTATCTCGTGCCCTCATTGGTCATGTGAGCGTTCGTGTGTGTTGGAGGAGGGGCTCTGTAAGGAAGAGGCAGATTTTTTCCGGTTGTGTATTTTCAAATTCCAGCACACTCGAGCTGGTTTCTCCAAAATTACCTACCCCACCTTTAAAGTGCAAGTCATAAACATTTAAACATTCAATTAGATGCATGGCTGCCCTATCTCTCGTTTCTTTAAAAAAGATTTGAATGCCTTGAAAAAATCAGTAAATAAACATTGCAATTAATACACATCAGAATCGGAGCCAAAATACTTTATTTATGATTGGGAAAATGTAGCTGTGTGACAGTTGCTTTATTTTAGGATGAAATTAAAGATAACAATAAAATCAATAAAATAAAATAAATAAAATACATTTAAATAAATAAGATACTTGTATGAAGAAAAATGAACAATGTGCAATAGAAATATTAAAAAAATAAAT